GCATTAGTATTTTTATATAATTAACACTCAAACTATAATAGAACTGTACCGAAAAAATATTAGCAAATAGATCTTTCTTGCGAAACTGCTTTCTTTTTTCTGCGTTTTTTAGAATAGGTAGCATTATGTTTAAATTACTACCTTAGCCTCTATTATATTTTACCAAATTGATGTGTAATATATTTTTTAAAATTATATCATTATTTTTATGTCTATAATAAAATAAAAAATCATTGCTAAATGTTCCAACTTCCACGTCCAATATACTTTTAGCAGTTTGAAATGAATTGCTATTTTTGTTTTCTGCAAATTGAGCAGAAATAAAGTAAATTGATTTCGTGAAGTTTTCCGTCTTGAAAATTTCCTCGAAAGTACTACAACACATAGAAGTTGGAACGTGCAGCGAACGACTCTATTTAATCATAGACACAAAGGTGCGCGATGAATTTAGAAAAGAAGCTATTTCACACGCCAGAAAATTTCTATTACATTCTATATAGTGGAAGAAAGACATAGTAATTATAAACAATCCTGCTTAACATAAGAAATAAAGCAAAACTAGTAATTAGAAGCCGTACTATCGATACATTACGATATCCTGACAAAACACTTGAAATAATAGTAGCAGGGGCATGGTGTTTTGCTTTTCAATAGTATTGTTTTATTTAATAGTACAATCAGTCTCAATGGATTATACTTATGTTAAATTCATTGACTACCAATAACATTATAGTCTTGAAATAAAGTAGGAACTACAATAACATATTTATTTAAAAAAACGCAGTTCAAAATTTGTCTATAGAGTAAGGACAAAATTACATAAGGTAAAGACATGCTAGGATAGGAATTTTAAGAACACAGCTCACAAAATAATTGATTGGTTTGGAAAAAATAGAAAATAAATGCAAATTTCTTCTCTTTTTCGGTGGATTGTTCGGTCTGCTCTTAGAGTGAAAGCTTGTCGTTCCACTTACAGAATGTCATGTGGACGTCGTCCATGGACGACATGTTGTATTTGCCTTTGCTTCAAGATTTATTTAACATGAAACAAATTTATTCTTATCTAGTTTAGTACAGGTTGTTATAAAATTTCATTTAGATTAAAATTTTCAAGGACAACCAAGCACATATAAACAACAATTTGCAACATAACGTAATAGTTTAGTAATTTTCAAAAAAGGCAGAACAATTTTATTACCAAACCACAACCGAATAACTGCCAAACCCGTTGCCAAAAATAATTTCTTTTACCCTCCAAAAAGTTGCACAAAGACCGTTATAATAGCAAGAGAGGAAATAAGCGCCAAATTGACTGTAAAATATAATGAGATTTTTTCTTATGAGATGTTCGTCCTGAACAGTTTTAGAGAAAAAAACGAAATTCATCGGTGGTCATGTGTTGGCCAATTGGCAAACTATCAAATGACTTGTTATCATTATCAAATTATCATTATCCAAACAGATATGAGAAAAGAAATAATTTCAAATTCAAAAACATATACGTTAATTAAAATTATTTATTACATGTAAAAAGAATTTTTATTATTATTATTAAAGCTTCAATCCGAAAATTTTGCACATTAAATTTGCAAAATATGATGTATATGCATAATTTGAGTGAATATAATTTTCTTTACATTTTGTTCATTTTAAAAAATAAACAAAAATTAATATATCTGCTTCACATAAGTTTGGAAGCCCTCCTTTAAAAAAATGTACTAAAGTATGCTGAAAAGTTTCATCAAATTTTGGGTTGTAAAATGGTAAAATATTTGATAACTTTACTACTGAAAAATTTCAAGTAACAAAAAAGTTGAGTTCTGGGACATTCTGTGAAAATTTTCAATAGTGATGAATATATATTGAAAAATTACCCAAAAAGCTATTTGTACTCGAAATCAAATATGCTCTGTTTTAAGAACATGGAAAAATTTGATTATTCCTTCTAGACAAAAAAAGAGGTATTTCATAGTAAGTTTATTTTGAGTTTTTCGATTGTATTTTAAAACAGAATTAATTGCATATAATTGAGTGTAAATAATATTACGTTTGAAAATTAAATATACGAGTAGATGCTTGATACTGTAATTAGTTTAAAATTTTAATTACTTTATTGTTTGGTATTATCGTTAATCTACACAATTTGTAATATGAAATTGCTTACATAATAAGCGATGTAACTACAAATATTTATTATTTATAATACAAATACATGTTCGTCTATTAGCATTTTTTGCTAAGCTGCTTCGATGTAACTTTTAAATTAATAATTACAGAATATTTAAATGCCTAGTTATCTGTTATAAAGCAATCGAGTATTATTTTTATAAGCAGATTTTTATTAGAAAATATCATAATTACTTTAAAAAAATCGAGGACAGTGATGGACCCATACGTGCACATCAATCATAATGATCGATTGGCGAACCGAAAAAAAAATCTCGCGCAAGTTGAAAGACTTTTTGCAAATAGTTTCAGATTGCTTCGTCATCTCGAAACGTTATTAGCCTCATTCAAGCATGTATCAGAGGCTAAATTGAAAAATTACCATAAATTTATACACGGTTCAGGGAACACAAAACATCATTATCCAATTACATCAAATGCAGAAGAATATAATGCTGAACAAACGAATTGAAGGCTCCGAGATGTTAGTTGCGTTCGATTTGCAAATCTTAGTGTATGTGCTCGAGCAAGTTGCGAGATTTATTATTGTTTGTGCATTTTTGTTGGAACCGATAACTAATGTTTAAATAAAATATTAATAACATGGTCGATTACGGTATATTAATAAATTAATATACTCATGAAACTGTAAACAGTATACAAAAAATACATATTAAATAGTGGTTTAGTGCATAAATTTATAACATATGTAAATATTACGCAAACGATTTCAACACTGGTACAGATGCGAAGTCAGTATATAAGTATTCTGTATAAAACTATTTTTTTTACAAAAATATAAGCTTTAAGCTTTGAGAGCTTTAAAATTCCGATAGCATTAATATTGAAGGTGCATACTGTTTTTTGTATTGACAGTGCATATTTGTTTTTTGTACTAATATAAAAGGTAACTGTTAAATTAAACAGGCTAAATTCATAAATTCAAATATCGGAAAATTTTCTTATTTTCATTTGAGAAACTAGAAAATTTGTATTTATTTAACTTTTAATATTCAAATGAGATTCAGACAAAAATGCAACAAATGTATAAATTTCGAGCACTTTCAACATTAAAAACAGTAAAAAAAATACTGTTTTAGTTCTAGTATTTCTCGTAAAATTTTATTTTATAGAAAGTCTTCTTCAGTTCTTTCATATATAATAAATAATTTGAATAATCAGCATAACTAATGTATAATTTCAGTTTTCGATACCATTTAAGATTCTTCACTATTTCAAAAAGCATTCGAATAATAATTTTAACATAAAACTGAAAATTTTAGAAAACGCACTATTTGAAAAACCATGTATAACATTCGTACCTTTTACATCATCATAAAAATTCTACAATTTTTTTTGTACAATACTTTCCAAAATAATCTATAAAACTACCATTCAATTCAATTTCATTATTGACATTTATTTATTACAATTTTATTGTAAAATTTTAAAAATATGCTCAATTTTAAATATCTTAATAATTTATCTGTTAACGTATTGATTTATTTAATAGCAAAATGCAATTAATAATCGTAATCGTTAGCTCTTGAAATTACATAAATTGAATCATACAATGAATCATTTATAATAAATTACTGGATCTGTTTATAGTTGTTTCATTTTCTGGTGTAAATATAGCATCAATTAAAAATATTGCATTTAATAATTATCTGAAAAATACCGATTATTGCATTTACCACAAAGTATTCGAATATCTAGATTAAAAACGAGTTCTTTCATGACGTATAATTTTAAACTTTTCTTGAAAATGTTTTATGTAAAAGATTTTTATGCATTATTCATATCGATAATTGATTCGATTTATACCATGAAATCAATAATAAATATTTCGATTTGAGATGGATAGATAAGAACATAATTATTATGTATGAAAATACAATAATATAAAAATACAAATTCGAAAAGTAAAAATAATGCATTACATTATATATATTCAACAAATATTTATTTTTGGCATTATTTTGTGTATATTCAAACAATAATCTATAACTTTTGCCTTTGAATAATGTTGCCCACATAACACACTTCATATTGTTAGATATTAACTTAATAACTAATAGTTTTGATAAATTTTATTATTTAAATTGAACAACTTTTTAATAGTTGAAATATTGACTTTAATTTCAAACTTGTTCACTCACTCGTTTATTATATAATGTGCTAAATTATCACATAAAAAAACATAATGATTATTAAAAATTATAAAGAAACTATTTACAAAAATCCTTAAAATTTATTAATAATTTTCAAGATAATTTCACGTATTCACTGACTGGTTCACAAATACAAAATATAAATGTATTACAAGCAACTTGAAAACTATTTGTTTTAATGACCGTTGCATATTTCTTACAATGCTGATAACAAAATATTTGTTTCTAAGAATGATTTAGTTTATACATAAAAGAATAAAGAAAATATTTCTTTGATTTCAAGTGTAGAATTCAAATTTGCGAAAAGTAAAATATAATTTAACAAAAAAATTAAGTTAGACTAAATTTATCGTGAAGTAAACCAATTTAAAACAGTGATGATGTTGACACTGCACGTGTATTTAATAGATGTCGATAATTTATTTATTAGATTTATTTTATAGACTAATTGTAAGCAATAAATTTAAGTGATAAAATTCTTTGTACATTAATATGCTGTAATAATATGATGTGATACATTTTCTTCTAAGTATTGACACAAGTGATTCGTGCTTTTAATGAACTTGACATTAAGAACAATTAGTGCAGGATCTCAAAGTAATTATTTGCAGTATCTCACTTCAACAACGAGTGATGTAAAATCAAGATTAAAGTTTTGCAATGTTTTTATTAAAACCTTTAGAACTTTTACAATCACAAATCACATTATCAATTTTTGATTCGGTTTTTGCCTTGGCTGTCGTTGGTCCAGCAACAGTTGGATATTGGCGAGGAGGATGGAATCTTATGGAGATTTATTTATTTCCAGAAGAACATTTGAAGAGTAGTTTAATTTCTTTAGGAGTAGGGTTTGTAGGCATGCTGTTAATGTGCCTTGGTCAAGGACCGATTAAAAGATTTATGAAAGGTATGTATATAAAACCGTTATAATAGATAGTTTCTTCTCTCATCAAACCACCGATTTTATTTTTTTATAAATAATAACTGAAATATGAGTACTTGTTGAATACGAAATACTGAGAAAAAAATAAAGTCTAAAGTTAAAAAATCCTCCAACAATTATTTTATAATTTTTATTGCAGGAAAATCTAAAGTCTGCTTCATATTAGTCTCCACCCTTTACACAGAAATTTATGGATTATTTTGTATAAATTCTTGGCGAGGTGCTTGGTTATTTGGTGATCTTTTTGCGAAACTACCAATTGAAGCTGTTGCTGCAATAACTTTTTTGGCAATTATAATTTTGGCTAGTATAAAGGCTCTGAGAAATACTTCAGCGCCTCCCTGTGCCATAGTTGTTGGGAATACAGAAGATTATTTTGACACGCCAACGTATTTTAATCAAATAGTAAGAAATATTTTGTATTTTGCCATTCTTATTGTTCAAAGAATAAGGAAAAATTTTAAAATTAATTAAATTTGAAATTTAATTTAAATTAAAATTTAGAATAAAAATATAAGTATAATTTTTCTATAGCCTTATATATAAAATAGCACACCTCTAATTATTGAAATTGTTACTGATGTTAATGATATGCTATCATAAATAAACAAATAGTTTTTAATTTACTTTGAAAAAAAAAATCACGATATATTTATCTCAAATCTAAAGATAATTTCGTTCAACAAAACTGAAACTCTTAAGAACATTTTCTCAATTCATCATTATATTTATTTCTTTAACTAGATTTTATCATCAAGTTTACCATATTTTTTGAAAACATTTATGATTTTCTCAACCTAGCTTAACATTTATGACCTACATTAAGAAATTATCTGTAAATTATCTATCGTAAATTTATTTAGCACTATGATAATTGCCATTATCTGATAACTTTATGTACACGTTTGAGAAAACAAAAGTTACAAATGATTTTATCAACAATAATTCTTATCAACCTTGTCTAGTGATATATTTTCAATTGCAGTATATATTTATATTTCATTGTTATTGTTTCAAATGAAGGCCATTTACGTTTCTAAAAAAAGATATATATATTTGATCCTTTGAACTTTCAACTATAATTAATATAAAATAATATTTTCAATATAATATATCAATTTAATAGACAAAATTCAAAATAATCTCGATATGGGTTTTTACATATATTTCCATGACTAATGCAATTAAGTTATTAGTTAATATGCAAAGTGATGAATAATTCAGTTTGATCGATTAGTCATTTGGCATTGACCCTTATGTATGATTTGCGCAATTAAAGTAATCAGTTTCAATTCTCTGGTGATATAATATACCAAGTAATAAAATAATACCTGAAAATAATCGAATTTTATTGAATTTTCCAAGAAAAACTGTGAAATTGCACACGCTTTAATCTATTGTATATTGTGTATTTCCAACAGTAAGAATAAGGAATTAAATACTCAACAATATCAAATGAAACCAATTATATATTCAACGTGCTCAAAATTGGTAATAATCAAAGTTTTTCATTTCTGATAAATTTTATATATAATTTGTTTGAAAATAATGTGGACTATATTTTAAAATATTTACATACATTTTTATAAATATTTTATTTTAGGACCAAAAAAACCTTTGGACGTTTATACTAGACTGTTGCTTTTCTGTATTATTCATTGGAACTCTAATTGTAGTCGTATGGAGAGGAACATGGGTTGTCGTGGAATCGATTTTATTCCCAGATGATACTTTGCTAAGCGTTTTGTCATCTCTTGTAAGTAATTGTAATATAACAATATATAATTTTTAACTTTAAAATGATTGCTTTGATAGTTGATAGATAGTGATAAAAATTAATTGACAAAAACAATTAACGGAATCAATGTTTAAAGATTTATCAAGTGTTTACATGCCATTACTTAAATATTTTATTCATTTTAATTATTATGTTTTATAGATAATTGGTTATTCAGTGACGATAATTACATACAGTTTGGAACCTTTGGTACATTTTGCTAATGAACGTCTACAAGGCATTTGGAAATACATAGTTCTTGATATATATGCAGTTCTAATCGTATTTGGAGCACTCAACGTTTGGAGAAGTTTGTGGCATCTACTCGACACCTACTTTATGCCAGGTTCATTTAATTATTTACAGAGATTTATATATATATATATATATATATATAAATATATAACATGCTATGATATCAGATTTTTTAGAGATTAACCTATTTCATTTTTTTAGATTATCCACTATTAGGTAATTGGCTATCACACGTGGTAAGTTTAGCATTATTAATGTTGCTAAATTGTGGAAATTCTGTTTTGGTGAGAGGTGTTTGTAAAGATGCCGATCCAGGTACTTCCGATAAGCTTGTAGTGATGCCAACTCATTATTTACGAATATATTTTAAAAATGAAGATTTTCAAAAAACAAATGAAACTAAAAGTGGTGAAAGTTGATGTTGTTGAATTTTTATTATATCTAGATAAATTTGTATATATAATTTATATGAAAAAGTATCTACTTCAAGCAGAGTGATGATGGCAAACAATTAGTAATAATTGAATAGTTTATCAGTACTTATCTGGTGGTTATGTAAAATCGAAGAGTTTATCATTATTTGATTGCCATGCCAGCAGGAAATAAAAGTTTAAAGAATTTTGATGAAAATAACGATGTATATGCTCGAATAAAAGTATAAAAGATAAATAAATTTGATATATTTATTTTTTATTGTTTTATTAACAAAAATGAAAACTATTAGGAATTTCGTCACATCTATACGTCATTAACTATTAACGGTATGAAACATTTGCGTCAGATTCGTTTAATTGAAGAGAATATATTCAATTTGCTCATGTTTTTGAATTTGCTTAAGATTAGAATAATAAAATGATATACTGAATTGCAAATGCAGACATATAAAATTAATCTCAAAATTTAAAAATATTTTTTTGGATCGACTAGATCGACTGGACTTGAATCAGAGGTTCCAGGTTCGATTCGACTTCGAACAGTCTGTTTCCAAGCTGTACTGACAACAATTTTCACTTCGATATGTAGATAGCAATATGTTTAAAAATAAAAATAACCCTTATTATAACAATTGTAATAATAATATATCATACAGAGATGTGACAACTACCGAACAGACTAGTATTAAATCAACTCAGCACAACAGCTTAGAGGACTATTAAGTTCTGATTGTTGTTAAAAAAATTTTTTTTTTTGGATTAGGACCTTTTTTTGGTATAAAAAATGTTAGTCATTTCAATAAAAAAACTATAATTCTCAATAAAAAAAAACTTTGAACTCTGAACTTTGAAATTCCATAACTCCAGCAAAACATGATAGAGTGCCATAAATATATTTCCTGTAACTATAAAATTTATCTTTGGATATAGCAATGAATAAGTAAATTTCTAAGTACATATGTACTAAAGCTTAAAATATACAAATGTTTGATTCATACCATTCGAAGGCAATATCAAGGGATTTACTTATTGTTAGGTGGAGTGTAAGGGCGTAGTAAGTACTTAGGAGTCCGCATTGAGAGAAACGGTCTCGGCGAATCGCTAGAAGCGACAGACTTAATAAATGGTCTTCCCGGTGCAATGTTAGTGAAAGTTTTATACGAATGAACGAATGGAGCAGATTGCATTTTATTGAATAGAAGACCTTGCGACAAAAGGTTTCGAATCGACAAGAGTTTTATATCGAGTTGGATTGTCCAGTCAGTATATATGTCACGCTAATTTTTATCCGCGTGTTAGTTACTAGTTACGGTTCTTGTTTTTGTGATTCTAGACATAATTATGTTAAGATTTTATTTATGTAACATTAACCTTTAAAACGGATTTTTCTCATTATTATAAAGTAGAGTTACTGATTTGAATCATCGTTGATAGCACTACTTATACTCCCGCCTTGCTATAATTAAGCATAAATTACAAAATATATTTGAACATTAAATGCCACAAAACATGTAATTTTAGAGGTATTACAAAGATATTTTTTAACAATGTGAATTATTTTATAAAAAACAATTCTATTATGTTTCATTAGAATGAGCGTCAGTATACAATTTCATTTCAATATAAATATTTAAATTCACTCACGCATCATACTCCAGACTGTAGACAATCACGATATGCTTATGATTAATGCTTACCTGAAACAAAGAATAACAACATATTAATTTATACATAAAAGAATATGTACCTAAATATAAATATATACTTTGGCATTATATAAATAATATGCTCTGATAAATTAATTGAATAATTAATTAGTGTATATTAGTGATTTTAAAAATATAGAGCAGTGGGATAGTATTTTAGAATAGAAATATGTATTTGGGTTAATTTAATTTTTGCTCTAAATTATTTTGCTTTATTTTAATATTAATACGGCATATTTACATAATACATACAATAAATCATTTAACCAAATAATTGAGAAAAACTTGAACTTAACTAGATAAAATTCAGTGTTTATGTATCTCCTGCTGCCCCGCAAAATAATTTTTCGCAAAATATCGTCTGATTTTACGTTAAAAAGTTACAATTTTACGTTTAAGGTTACGTTCTAGTTACGATGTTAAAAGACTCTGATATTACATCAAAACTTCTTGATAAGTTATTGATATGATTGAAATTGTATAATAAATCTTCAGAAAAAGGTCGAGATACTAACAATAAGAATGAATATATTATATTGTATGCAAGGTAATATAGAAATATATTATACTTATAATATGCTATATAACTAACTAATATATTCATTTTTAGAGTAGGTAAGATAGCATGTATTAAAGTATTTTTTCAGACAACTGTTGATAATGAAGACTCATTGAAACAAACTCAGTTTTTACCAAATATTATGTAAATTATCGTGGATATCTTAAATAATCACTATGTTTAAACCTTCGCAAATGAGATACCAAATCGAAACAATTAAATTTAAAACCAATTTTGCTAATTGATAAAATAGTCATGTGTGTCACTTCTTTCGCTACAATGGCAAGTGTGTTTTTAAGACGCTGCTGTACGGAACAGATAACTGCCCATTTGCGCTGCTGAACGTATGAGACAATAGCATATTTTAAGATTTTTCTATCATTGTCATTAAAAATTACAAATTATACTTCTAAAAACTAAAAATTTAAAGATCAATAGTTTAACACATAATGATAAATTTTGAAGTAAATGTTGGAATGCCGTCTGAAGGCGACACACGTGCTCAATACCAATATCAATAGACCTCACCTTTACATAAAAAATATATGTCGCCTACAGGTGACGTCCGTAGAAAATGAGTTCAGTAAGAATAGGTGATGGCTTGGCATCTAGCATTCGGTAAATCTTTTTTAAAAATTAATTGCACCATTCGACAGCAAAAAATCACTGATAACGATGGTAAAAAGAAATTTTAATTTTTTTGCATTTTTAAAGGGGTCGGTGCCCCACTCATTTATCTCGAGAACGAAAAGAGCAAAAAAAATTTAGTTTGCACCAATTGACAGCAAAAAAATCGTCAAAAAATCAGGTCATATCAGTTTTGCCAATTTCCACCATCGCGGTGCCAAGTATATTCACGTCAAATAGTTGATGGCTTAGCATCTTGCAGAAAGATTTCGAATAACTTAAATCTGTCATGAATTTTTTTTTAACCATCTACTTAATCACTTGCAAATTAGAACGAAAATCAAGAACATGTTTTTGACCAACAATTAATAGTATACTTGCATTAGATGTGAAACTAATCAAAGAAATATAAATTAGTGGTATATTAGGCAATCCTAATCATTGGAGCATCAAACTGAGTATGATCATCTGGGTATGTAAAACAAAGTAATTCTTGTTAAAACAAGCTATAAACACTAAACCAAGAAAAACAACTGCAAAAAGAGTACTTTGTGTTTAAACAAACTGTTTCTTCCTATTTGAATCCATTCTGATCCCGCCAACCCATCATTCCGTTCCGTTGACGCCTAATTAGTATTCCATTGCCAGCAGGGAACATGGGTACAAGGTAGATGATGGATTCCCGTGCACGTGTGTCGTGTGTGCCTCTGAAATGGGAGACGCACACGCGTCCGATGCGATGCATGGCTACTTCAGATCGATGATGCAGGGCCTCAGGCCGCTGCCGGTGACAACGGACGACGCCCAATTCGGCATTTACATGGACGACAGGCGTAATGCAGAATTACGCTGATCGGGATACTTACACGAGATGTTTGAGAATTGAATATGGATTCGGATTGTATTGTCATCAGATGCATGATTTATAATGGACAGATGGTTGCGTTGGGTTAGTTGATAATTTCTTTGCAAAGCTATGGAGATGACCCTATATAGCTCGATTGCCAAGTTCAAGATAACTGGTAGATTGCTATCATATCATTTCTAGGATGCCTGTTACCAGTTTTCATCCTGTGCTTAATAGCTTACATACCTATGTTGGTAAAACCAATCAATGTGTGTTAATCAAAAGTGAACTAAATATAGATATAATAGATGCCAAAGATTTTTTTTATTTAAACTAAATTTTATAGCATTATTTTCTAATTAATTCTGAAATCTTCCAGATTTGTTTAAATAATCCAGATAAACTATACGGATTGAAATGTATAAACTTTAAAAATTTTGTAGTTTTATCACAAGTTTGAAATTTTGTCATGTTCTGTTATTCCAAAATTAATGAAACGTTGCAATTTTCTGCTATTTTTAAAGAAACGGTATGGTCAATCGCCAAAAAAAATTCACCAACGCCAGTCCTTATTGAATTTCAGCAAATAGTAAAAAATTTATGTAATTCAATGACATCATAATTTACAATAACGCTTGCAAATTTAAAAAAAAAACTATTACTAAATCTCACAAAGTATAACAGGGATTATGTAATTCAATGACATCATAATTTAGAATAACGCTTGCAAATTTAAAAAAAAAACTATTACTAAATCTCACAAAGTATAACAGGGATCGATCGATATAAAATGTGTCATCCAATTCTTGCTCCACATATTATACACACCTTATTTTCATTTTACTATTATTACTATATTTGCAGGAATAGTTTTATGATATTCTCATATTGTTATGTTAGCTATATAGATACATACTTTTATTACAAATGAAATCAAGGCATAATAAAAATATTATGGTATCGTAAATATAGAAATGTTCCATATAATATATGAGATATTTATCAATTTACGTCTATAATAATTTCGAAGCTGCAGTTGTTTAAATGCTCGCAGTTATTATTCGAAATAGCCCATAAAGGGAATGAAATGAATTTTCGATATTTATGTCGATGAATATTTTAAAATATAAAAAATTGATATGTAGAAACTTTTAAATTTAATTGCCTCAATTATCTGCAAAATCGTTAAATTATAAAACATAAAAAATATGAATTATTGCCATGATGAAATTGGATTGCAAAAAAA